AGCCCTATAGGCCCCGCAACAACAGAACTGCACACAACAACAACGCACTTTGAACTTGGAAACTGCAGAGAAAACCCCCAACACCCGTAGCCTTGCTGTATACTGTACAACTCTAGACCATAATCCTTGTCAAGTTTGGATTTGGGGCCTCCAGCAGCTCACCTCTGTCCGGTGATGCAGCCTCCGGAGCTCCGAAGACCACGGCCGACGAAGCAGCGGCGTTCTGTCCAGTTTTGATGCCGCTTAAGTGTATGTCTTATACTTGTAGTAAGATCTATGCGGGTGTGGAGTTGAATACGTTCAAGTGGGTAGATAGTTCGCCGAGTTCGGGGGAGGTTTGTGTATGGCTGAAGTTCCCAGACGGACCCGCAAACTTCCCCAGCCTCATGCAAAGTGCTTTCTTTTCCTGGGAGAGCAAAACATCTGAAACCCCTGCAGGCTCAAACAAGAGGAAGCACACCTCTCCGTCAAAGTAGACACAGTTGGCTTCCAGTGGCGCAGACAGCTGGCCGGCACACGGGACTACCTCAGGGCTGGGATGCTGCTCGGGCCTCATAGCCTAGCTGCCTAGATGGCTGAGGGTTTCAAAAAGTGGAGAGCCGTACACGCAGACCCTCCTCCCAAATGTGACCAGGCACGACGAGGCTGAAGACCGGTCCCTCGCCTGCGGTGCGATGCCCAGCGTAAATTCACGGGAGTCTCTACTCTGTCGACAATCTCAGCTGAAGCACCCAGAGAATCAGGTAGCCCTAGATTGAAGCCCCTGAGCTCTGCATCAAATCAAAACACCTCTAACGAAGGAGAATCTCTTGAGGCAAAGCCTGGGGGGGCGTGACAAGGCGGGAGAGTCAATGTCCAGCCAGCAGGGCAGATCCTGGTTGCAGGCTTAGGGCCCCTAGGCTTTGGCAGCACAATCACTCCTGAGCTCGAGCCTGTGCACTTCCACATCCCCACTCAGTAATTAAAACCTTTGGGTATGTCGGAGTTGGCTCCAGGGTTGAAGCCGATTTTTGTGGCTAGTGCTGTGGCCCCACAAAGAGGGGTCGGGGCCCTGGCAGCAAAATGCCACCCTGAAATGACCGGGGCTTTCTGCTCGCACCATCATTAGAATATATATATATATATATGTATGTATGATGTATGATTATGTATGTATAGTATAATACTCTATTATCTTAGAATGTATTATACTATGATTATACTATATTATATTACAATATATTAGACTAGATTAGATTACATTGCATTAGATTACAACGCATTACATTATATTGCATTGCCTTACATTATATTATACGACATTATATTACATTATACTATATATTATCATGTTATAATATATCATATTATGTTACGATGCTATATTATACGTACTACACTATATTAAAATATAAAAAATAATATATATATATATATATATCAATGTACTGCTAGATTGAACTGTTCACTCCATGTCGCTCTGAACCCGAGCTCCTTCCCAAGCATCTCATGGTGGCCATGTCGTGCCAGCGGGGTGCCGGCTCCTTGCAGGAGACTTGAACGCCAAACATATTGTACTTGAAGCTTCTTGATGCCATCATGCGTTCGCTAGGCCGTAGCGCGGTCATTCAGAAAGCAGTAACTTAGTGATTGTTTCATGAGGTCCATCAACATTGGAGGGCCTGGACCCTGACAGTAACTCCACTCCTGGTGAAGTAAGAGAACCACGACTAGAGGTAGCAGAATCATGAAGGTGGATCACATCTCGTATCCTGCCAGAATTATTTGTCGTATCCGAATGTCTCAACGCCTGACATTGTCATAATGTGCATCCGATTGATCGACATTCCTGTTCTTACAGTTCAGCAGTTTCGCATCCTTCCGACATGCCTTCATAGTCTTAACAGCCCAAGGGTTTGCAACAATTGGTCCGCTCAGCTGTACCTGCGGCCTCATGCTCCAAGAGCCTGAGCCATCGCCCTGATAGCCCTACTGTGACCGGCCTCTGCATTCCATCCAGCTGCTTCCAACTGTTCCTGTTGCACTCAACACTAACTTTCTTGAAGTGATTACGAACAATTTTAATGTGGTCTTGTGTTTGTGGAAAGGGCAGCGCCGACTCGCCCCATTACCCGCCACGGCAGGGAGTGGAGTATCTTTGTGTCGATCAGTTCCTCTTCCCCTCGTTCCAGCTTTGTTGGTTCTCTCGCTCTCTCTCTCTCTCTCTCCCTCTCTGCTTCGTCTCATGGTCATGGTCCCCGAGCATGCGCATTTTCGGGCAATGCCCTCGTTCCTCGGTTGATGAGCAAAGATGTCGGACATGCCCAACCAGCTCGCCCCTTTGTAAGGTTGTGGAGGGTGGTGAGAACTTCCCTTCAATCTCACCTTGCAGCTTGCAGCAGTCCCCGAGTCAAGCTCAGGCAGTGCTCTGTGCAAAATTGCAACATGCCTGCACTCGGGCTGCTGCAAAAAGTCCCCTCCTTCCCGGGCCGCTCTGAGCATCCCCTCTGACCGTGCTTCTTGCTGCTTCGAGCGCCGCGCTAGCTGCAGGCATGCAGTATAAGTATAAGTACCATGCATAATTGGTCAGTCCGGCGCTTTGCAACAATACTCGTCGTCACTCGAACTCTTCGTCATTACTTACTCTCCCTGTCTCTGCTTCCCGGTGCTCCTGCAGAAGTGCTGTCTGAAGCGACAGGTTAAAACTATGAATAGTTTTAGGGAATCAACTTGGATTGCATGCACAAGTTTACATCCAGCCCCGCCCTGCGGATCTCAACTTGAATTACTCTCAACTACTCGTGGCATTGATGTCAGGCTGCGATGCTCCCTGCTGTGATGACGATGATGATGATGATTGCGGTGGTGATGGTGGTTGTGATGGTCGTGGTGGTGGTGGTGGTGGTGGTGGTGGTGGTGGTGGTGGTGGTGCTGCTGCTGCCGCTGCTGGTGGGCCTGATGACGCTGACTCCCACTACAGCTTCGTAAAAAATCACGGCTACTTCTGCGGCTTGCAGAGTCAGTGGGCATCTGCAAACACGACCGCCTTGAAGACATGTACTCGTGTCGCTGTGTTTCGACACGACAGTCATGTATTAACAAGTGCTACACCTCCGGATCTCGTTAACTTTTCTCTTGGCTGATGTTGCCTTTGACATTGTCGTTGGCGTTGACATGTGCTTATGGTCGTTGTGGTTTTAGCCTGTTGTTGTCGTTGTCGTTGTCGTTGTCGTTGTCGTTGTGGTTGTGGTTGTGGTTGTGGTTGTGGTTGTGGTTGTGGTTGTGGTTGTGGTTGTGGTTGTGGTTGTTGCTGTTGCTGTTGCTGTTGCTGCTGTTGTTGTTGTTGTTGCAGCAGCTGCTGCTTCTGCTGCTGATGGCGCCGTTGTTGTTGTGGTTGTGGTGGTACTTATGTTCGGGTTGTTGGTGTTGATGGTGTTGATGGTGGTGGTGGTGGTGGTGGTGGTGGTGGTGGTGGTGGTGGTGGGGGTGGTGGGGGTGGTGGCGGTGGCGGCGGCGGTAGCTGGGGTTGCGGTTAAAGTTGTTGTTGGAGTTATTGTTGATGTCGTCGTTGTTACTTTTTTTGTTTGCTGTGTCTGTTATTGCTATTTGTGGTGGGGTTGGTGGCATTGGCGGCGGCAGTGGTGGTGCTGGTGCTGGTGGCGGGGTGTTGTTGTTGGTGGTTGTGGCGCGGGCTGTGCTGTTTTGATGTTGTTGCCGTCGTTGGTAGTTGTTGGTAGTTGTGGTGGTGACGAGTGGTGGTACTTGTGTTCGGGTTGTTGGTGGTGGTGGTGGTGCTGGTTCTGGTGCTGTTGCTGCTGCTGGTGGCGGTGGTGGTGTCGGTGTTCAAAGGCTGCTGCATTTTTGCTGCTTCAAGGCACTGCAGCTTGTTGCATGCTCATTGCTCTCTGAATGCCCTTACCATCACGAAGCCAGGACTCGACCCAGCTCGGATGACCTTTCTGGCCGGAGCGTCTTTCAGTGATGACATATACCCGAGCGGAGGCATTTGTCTTCACCTCTGCAGCCGAGGGCCTATAAACATTACCAGTTACTACGACACTGAGTTTGAGGATCCCGAAGTACTGAACGCAAAACTGGGGCCAACTGCCGTGCTTTGAAAAAAGTGGGGTGTTTAACTTGCGCCGTGTCAATGTCTTGCTCGGAGCAGAATCTGTTCTGCCAGGGCGCTGCCAGGATTGTGTCGCCCGGGATATCTTTGAAGGGGCCCTGATAGAGAATGCCCCCTTTCAAGTAGGCCTGAGCTTGCGCTGCGAGTCGTAGCCGATGCGCATCGCTTGTTACCCTGCCCTCACCCCAGATCTGAACAGCTTGCGTTGACTTACCATGGATCCACGCCAGCCAAACAAGCTGGCGTAAAATTTGTTCTTAGCCGATCACCATACTATACTACACTATACTATGCCGTGCTTTGCTATAGTAGTTCAATGCACGGCAGTTTAGGGTGATATAATTTACATTTAGCATGATATGGCATATCACAATATAGTACAGCATTAAGTTCTGTAAACATAATGCGAGACAATACAACAAGATACTACGTAGTATGGCATGACAACACATAATGTAATGTGATACAACATCGGTGTCAACGACTTGGTGCTTCGGGCGTGGGTCCAGTACATACATAGGTACATAGTGGGCTCGCGCCAGCTTTCGCCCAGGGCTCATGGCCTCTGAAGTTGCCCTAGACGGTGTTCAGGCGACACCGATATCGTCGCAATAAGTATAGCAACAGTATCGTACCGTACAGTATGGCATAGGAAATCCTAAAGCCCTGAACACGTCCAGCACGGCCAGAGAGTCACTTTCAAGTAAGCACGGGGTTGACAATTCAATGAACAAAAACCAATCATGCGCCTTTGCCCCGTGATGCCATTAGCTTGAAGCTTGTCCTTGTGCCCCGGTCTAATCCAGAGCTTCACAATGATTCGACATCATGACCCCTCACGAATCCTACGTGGGAACGGGCACCACGCAACCGCTTCGACAGGCACGGCGGCCGGCACGTCCAGATACTTGTGGTCTCGGTCAAGCCATGGAGTGACCCCTCAGACTTTGGGAATCCGGAAAAGAGTTCGCCGGGACTCTTTGCTTGGGTCATTGGAGAACTTCAGAAGTCATTTTAGAAAAGGTGGCTTTTGGGTGGAGTCTTCTCTGGGCCCTTTGTAGAGAGCCCATGGACTTCGCGACTTCGATGTTGGTCTTCAACCTGACGCCTTTGAGGACGAACCCGCAGAAAAGTTCGAGGCTTGCGTGTTAGCTGTCAGAACCATGGAACTTGGCCGAGAAGCCTTCTTCCATGAGCGCTGTTCGCTCATACTTCAGCTCGCTGCTGGAAGATACGGTAATCCCAACGCTGATAGTGGCAACCTTGACCGCCACAGCAAAGGCCCGTTGCAAGTAGCCTCGATCAGTTGAAGGTTCAGGCGAATCAATGGGTGCCTGCTTGATGTGTAAGCCAATGCTCTGGACCAAACAACAATAACCAATGACGGCACAGCATTTGCACATCATGGTCAGGGTTGTGTGTTCTATGGCCTCAGACACCGCATATCGTACTGTCGATGTCTCCGAAATCATGCCATGGACTCCACTATACCCCCCCCCCCCATACTTTTTCACGGGACATGCCATGAAACCCTCGACTCATCCGGCCGAGGCGCCGTCCATCTGCACTTCTGGCAGAGTGATCGTCGTACCCGGTTGCAGCAGGGTGCTGAACATCAAAAGGTCCGGTCGGGCGGGTCGCTTGGCACCTAAGGACCGCAGGCGAGTATGCCTTACGGTTTAGTTTAGGTTACTTTCACGACCCCACATCCCTAAGCCCGACATCCTCGAACGCGACAAGCCGGTTTCCTGACACCAGCCCGAAGAGCTTACACAGATCTTATACAGCCACCCAGAAATCCGCAACCCGGAAGTACGTTGCCAAACCACACATCCACTGGATCTGTTCCTGAAGCAATGAATTTATGATTTGAAGTATTTTGCTCTTAGGAGAGGGCTAGGCTCAATACTAGCGCGACAAAGCTTTTGTTCTTCGAAGCTTCTAAACACGATGGCCCTTTAGCTGAAACACAGCCGGGGCGCTGACCATGTCTAAAATCACACGCCTCAATCCCACCAACTAACTCACCCTATAGAAACTGCCCCAAGCATTCATCTCAACGACGACACGGGCTCTGGTGAGGGGCTCCCTCCATGGGTTCAGTGCAAGGGTTCGGCCGTTACTGTAAGCACCTTCCGGCACTGGCCGTTTCCAGGTCGGTGTCTCCTCGAAGACAAGAACCGAAGAGGCGGTTTAATCAAGTGTCAGGGCCAGCTTTGTGTTGAGTTGTTCTGTAAGAGTTGTCGAGCCTACGTGGATAACATGTGGGTCCAAGGAATTGTCCGGGTTTATTGATTCTGGGCTTTTGATGCAGCGTAGCCAGAGCACCATTGCTTCGCATTCGCAAAGGCTCATGTGCTGTCATAGCGAAAGATCTTGGCGTCTGAACACGATGGACGTGTTGTTTCTTTTGCGTGTGTGGCGGAATAGCGGGATGGTTTGGGGCTTATATGGCGCCTAGTCTCGGGTGAAGTAGGTCTCGGAGGCACCACGAAAGCAGAAAACAAAAAAGACTGTCCTGCCACGCAGCACAATACCTCAACCCTGTACGCCTTCAGCTGCCCAACGTGAAACTAAGCTGTGAAACTAAACTGCTCACGCAAAAGCCATGTCCTCGCCCTCAGAGAGCCACCGGCAACTGTGGGCAAAGGCCGCAGCAAGTGCACCTGAAAGCGCAGTTGGGATTTCGCGGAGTTTGCAGGCTATTTATCATAGCCTTCTGGGGGGGTCCTCTTCTGATGGACTGGATAAACAACGACCCTATGTGGGAAGAATACCCACGCGTGGGTTCAGGCTTCAATATCTAAAGGGTTGTGCGAACAGAACCGCTTCTGCATGTTTAGGTCACATCTTGGTAGCATGCTCAAACCGCCTCAGACTGTATGAATTCGAAAAGCTTCAGGTTCAATTTGTGAGCTCGCCAAGCCGCTCCTACTCGTTACCGGAGTGGATGCGGTTTGCGGCTGGCGCGGGCTGCGGCTTCTTCACCGCGACAGAGAACGTTTGTCCGGGTTTTACGCCACATCCCCTGGCCCTTTTACCGGGAGGAGAGGAACTGGAGGAACCACCGGTAAGACTGGCCTTTGTAAATAGATTCCTGAGCAAGCGCTGGGCCTTGTGGTTTTTTAATCTTTCGGCACAAGCACTCCCGGTGAAAGCGAGGTGCTCCATGTTCGGATCTACGACCCGGCAATGGTGTATGCAGGCGCTGCCGGCCATACTCCTCTAATTTGAAGCGAAAGATCACGGGTCATGTGGTCTTCATTTACATTTGCAACACTGGTCACTGCCCCCGCCCTTCCCTCCCCGCTGTTCTTGCGCCGAAGCGACCGTGAGAGCTTCCCGGTGTACTCGGCCCGGGTGCTGGGACTTCCACGACAACGTAGAGACGCGCCTCCTGGCTTCGGGGCAGGATAGGATTGGGGTTTTTGTCAGCTGTAAGCTAACAGCAACTAACGGTGAACCTATCAATCCAAATCGGAATGAACTATTACAACATCATGAACAATCAAATCAATCGAAGCAGCTCGGGATTCGCAGTTGTGGGTCTGCAGCTACTGTAAGAGACCGGCCGTCATGTCTTCGGAGTTGGAGTGCCGGGAATTGGGATGAGATGTGGTTTTTGGCCAGAGGACAGAGGCCTTACTGTAGAGAAGCTTCAAGCGGAAGAGTTTAAGACGATGTCAACCCCGGAATTGTAAGAAGGCGTCATAGCAGGCGACACGATGGAACACAGCGGGATCGCTACAACACATCTGGATGATTTCGTTGTGCAGGGCTTTCAGGTCGAAGGCGTGCTTTTGGCGCAAGCACCATCTTTGTCTGTGCGTTTTCAACATGTTTCAACTTCATGCCAGGTCGCAAGATTCGAAGACTTTACGCGGATTGCGAATCCCAACGGTTTGAATAATCACGGAGTGAGCCTCCTGCGCCGTGACCTCAGCTCGTTCTTCAAGGTGTACATCAGCCGTGTGCGGGAGCATCTGTTGTGCGGCCAAGGTTTGCAACAACCACTGAACATTCCGGTATCCCAACCTGCAAACAAATGCACATCTTCCAAACAGCCATTGGCTTCGCGTCCGGAAGTCTTCGACGATCACTCCAAGATGCAACTTTGCAGCTCAGCCATAAGCGGTTCTAAGATCAGTCCGAAATTGCCCTATTGCAAGCATTTTAAGATGACAACTTAGCCTCTTACCTTTCACCGTTCTCGAGTGAACCCATCTCACCATCTACCTCCGAACTCTGGGCCAAATCTATACGCCCCACAGCAACCCCAGAAATAACCCGAAATACACATACACACAAAAAAACAACATGCAAAACCTAAACACAATCAACAGTAGAGGAGGGTCGGCGAAGCCGACAACAAGCGTGGCCTGAACTCAACATGCAAGTCCTTCGTGCAGCCAATGCCGCATGTCTTCAACGAACGACATCGGTTTTTTCGTATTGCCCAAGTTCAACGGAGGAAGCATCAAGTTCAACAGAGGAAGCATTGCATTTCTTGAAGCAAACACAAAATTGCAGCCCACGGCTCCGTCATCTTGGAGCCAGCTCTGCCTAAAGTGCCTAATGGACATCGGGGGTGCAGGCTCCCATTTCCGCATGCATTTTGGAGCTTGGGGCTTCGACTTCGCTTGGTTCTCTTTGATGCTAGGCTCTTGTACAGTAACTAGTCACCATGACTTTCCAAGCTCTGTAACCGTGGGAGCACATGGAACTAAATAGGCAGCATCTGGATGCATCCTATCAGGAGGAACTTTGTGCCCCACCGGCGTGGGAAGTTCTGTGTGTTTGCTGCATTCAAGTATTTCTGAATTCGGCTCTCGCGGCTAGTTTGCGTAAGGTGTACACTGCTGCACAGACTGAAAGCGCGACAGCTGATTCACTCTGAGTTGCCTTCTGCAGCACAGAGCAGGGTGCCTCCCAGCAGGTGTGGAGGAATCTCCGCAAGTGTGGCCTGCACTGGGGCAGGTCGTCGTCACAGTCCGTCACGAAGGGGTTGGGTCTTGCTTAGGGTAGCAAAGGGCTCACGACTCGGAGAAGCCAGGTATTACCAGGTGAGGGTTGTTTTGCTGGCCCGTCGTCTGAAGGGTATCGGACCTGGTATGGAATTCATTCATTACCGGCGGCCTGCGAACAGCGCGCACAAAGAGCACTAACTAAAGCGCAGTTTCTCTTCTTTTCCTGCTGGCCTAATGAGGCGAAAGGTCCAGGCGTCCAAAAAGGTCTGCAAGCTGCACATGTGCGCAGCTCGCAGGAAACTGCAAAGTACGAAGTACATGTGTTGTGGCAAGCATGGCACTGAGCAAGACAGAGCAGAAGTGAGACCATCCCCTGGGTGGCACTTTTGTGCACTCAACGGCCAGGTCCTGTGATCACTAAGCCCAGATGCCCACACGGTGGAAAAGGTGCTGCAGGGGCTTTCCGAACAACATACCTATGCGGCCACGACGAACAACGCTAATCTGCGCTTAGGCTGCTTGCATGTGGAGTTCTGTCCCTGCAGGCACTGCTGCTGATCGTGTGGGCCTGAACAAAGATTCCGAGCTATCGGCAGGCTGTGAGAACCACCTAGGTGGACTTGAAAAAAGCCTTTGGGGATCCGCTCAACTGGGATCCCTTCAATCTTAAAGTCTCAAGCTGCCCTACGCTTTCACTCCAATAATTCACCTCTGCTCTGGAATGAAAGTCTCCCTGAAGACCGTCTTCTCGATCCTGTAGATCTCTGTCACTTCCGAGCTTGGGCTGACTTGAGCCGCGATGATGTCATCGACTTCCACGGAGCCTTACGAGCAGAGTTTCTCAACCAATAGATGCCATAGCCAATACAGGAATACATACTAAGCGAACAGCATCGGCACTAGCAACAGCCTAGAAATTATGATGACCATCATCAGGGGAGCATGGCGTGCCCCACTTTGCCATGAACTTCTTGGATGGGCAATGCTGTCGTAGGAACTCCTCCGTGGCCCGGAGGGCACGGATGCGTGTACGGGATCGGTAGCATCGGTAACCGTCCCTGCGCAATTGCTGCGCATCTTCACGGCCATGTGGGATTTCCTTGCTGGTCTTGCGCAAAACAACATCGAAGAACAGTTCTGTCACTGCAAAGGCTCATGCCTACGCACGAAGCCTTTCGATACACAGGGATCAGAACTGCAATGAAGACGGTGCAAGCATGTTTCAGCACTATCGCTATCACGAATTCACTTCTTAGATCACAGCATTGCGGAAGGCAAAGAGGATTCTTCAACATGCATCATAACCATTGTGGCAATCCCTCAACCCGTACCCCTTTCTGCACCTTCATCAACATGCAAAACCATGCTATGACCAGAACAAGCCCAGATTCCAATGGAGTTGCCAGATCGTAAGCTGCCGATGTTGTCGCATAGGAGAGGATGTAATTCTCCTTCCATCGGGTGTTGGCCTGCACGACGAATTAATACTCAGGGCTTCAATCTCTCTTTGGCTGCCTGTGCATCAACGCTCCTTACAGGGTCTTTTTGCGGCTTAATGTTGGAGATTGGCCTGCACGACGTAATCCCCTTCGACTGCCGTGTTCACTGTCTCCTCCTTGCCATCCACGATCGTGATGATGATCTCTCCTGGTTGAGCACGCTGAGCTTTCTACAGTTCCAACCCCCCCTTTGGGGGGACATCTCTAGAATCCCATTAGATTAGGACATACGAAAATCGTAGCACGAACGTAGCAAATCACCAGAAAAAGAGGAATACTACCAGCTATGGGAATACTGGTGCCGGTACATCGCCATAGGGCATTGCATCAGGAATGAAGTACCGTAATTGAACTTTTCGCTTGTCTGTGTGTGTGTGGGGGGGGTTTGTGATCGCGGCTGCGATCATGTTGTTGGTGGTAGAAGTGGTCGTGGAAGTGACTGGTAGTGGTGGTGGTAGAAGCAGCAGCAGTGGTGATGTCATGATAACCGGCATGCCCATCACCGAGACGTGTCGTGTACAAGTTGTATAATATGCTGTCTGCATCAAAAGACAAGGCTTCTGGCGCAGACAAGACCAATCGATCATTAACCTTTCCCCGACTTTCCCCAACTCCCCCAAACTCTCCTGGTTGAGCGGGGCGGAGGAAAGCGAACGCCACCTTTCGGTACCAGCGTCCCGAGCTCAGCATCTCGTGGCTCACCTGGCACGTTGGAGTTTGGTCTACTGTGTCAGAATGAAAGAGTTCCTGTCAAAGTTCTGGTCTGCTTCACCCCGAATCCCAAAGGCTTATGTCTAGCCGGCTTGAGTCGATCTGAGGACCTGCTGGATCATCTCCTGTTGCGAGCAGATGCCGTAGTTGTCGACAGCATCGGACACGTCAGGGGCAAACAAGATCTCGGTATTCTCCTCTTTGACATTCGCAGTCTTTGGGTCCCCGGGCCGCCTCTCAAGGACTGCCTGCTTGTTGCTGCACATCCTCAGCAAGAGAAGCTCGGGGTCGCTTGAGCTCCATTTCCCTTGGATGGTGATGGCATCAATGCGGAGGGTCACAAAGTTCCCGGCCTGATCGCTGCTGGCGGGCCAAAGCTTACGAGCCCGGCGGTAGATCTCGGCCAAAATCTCCAACCGTCTCACGGCGCTGTCCGTATTCATCCTCTGCAAGAATGCCGGACCATAGTACACCAAGAAGGCCGGTCCAGCCAAAAGGTCCCTCACAGACGATGGCACGAAACCCTCTGAGAAGCTTTGATTTTCTGTACCGGTGCGTGCCATTTCCACACTGAGCACCATCCGGTCTGCCTCACTGAGCTTGTCGAAGGCTTCCAACACTTGGCCTGCCATGCCTTGAGCCATGCCTTGGAGCGCGACAGCAGTCTGAACCATTACGAGTACCATCTCTGACAACCATGCACATGGTGATATGATGGCTTCAGTTTCGGTAGAACAAGTGCCAAAACAAGAAACACATGGTGTTGATGTTTATCGTGGTGGTGGTGTTGATTGTACGGATGCTTATTTTGACGACGAGCATACCCATCACAATCAACAAAGCGAGCGCCATCAGCACAGCTTCGTCATCATCACAGTCTTCCTCTTCTCATCGTCGTATCGGCCCAAAAGGCCGAAGTCATTTCACTGAATTAACCACTCGCAGTTAGTCCAATCGTGACTGAGCTGACCACACATATCTCTACACGCAATTGTCGTCACCATCGTCGTCGCCAGAGTGCTTGTTGCTGCAGCAGCAGCAGGAGCAGTAGAAGTAGAAGTAGAAGTAGAAGTAGTAGTAGTAGTCGTCGTCGTAGTAGTAGTAGTAGTTATAGTAGTAGTAGTAGAAGTAGTACTAGGTGGTAGCGGTAGTGGTAGTAGCGGAAGTACTAGTAGTAGCAGTAGTAGTCGTCGTCGTGGTGGTGGTGGTGGTAGTAGTAGTAGTAGTCGTCCTAGTAGTAGTAGTAGTAGTAGTAGTAGTAGTAGTAGTATTCGTAGTAAGCTGTCACAAAGCATTAAGCACAAAAACCTAAACACAAAAACTTCAAATCCCGAAAAACGCCGCATTGATTGT